GCACGGTTACCATGGCAACCTCCCAGGCCCAAAATGGAGATCACTATCAGCGCTTCTGACGTCGTGCATCTAGATAATTTTGCGTCGTGTCGCTACTCTGGCAGCTACGCTGCCATATACAGTGGCTCTAGAGTGGGCTAGCGCACATCAGCTCGGAGCACGCGGAGCGAAAGCTCGCGCTGCAGAACCCAATCTCCACCTTTGCCCGTTTCGCTCTGGATGAGCATCGTACCGGCGTGCGGTCGTGTGCCACCACTGCGTGGTGCACGTTAGAGACCCCAGGCTAGCGGTTGCACTGCACTGGCTAAATTGCTCACCTACGGCGAGTGACTCGTCGCAACTTTGAAATGACTGACCAACTACACGCTGTCTAAATATTTACACAACCCCAATTATTCGGCCAATGATCGGGGGATCGGTGGCCGAGTGGGTTACGCACACCAGCTCGGAGCACGTGGAGCGAAAGCTCGCGCTGCAGAACCCAGGGATTTATTCCCTTCTGAATGTACGAATAAAGTTTTCAACAACAACAACAACAACCTGGGTTAAATCCCCACTCTGCCCGTTTCAATCTGGATGAGCATCGTACCGGCGTGTGGTCGTGTATCACGACTGCGTGGTGCACGTTAAACCCCAGGCTATGGATTGTACTGCACTGGCTAAATTTCTCACCTACAGCGATTGACTCGTCGCAACTTTGAAATGACTGACCAACTATACACGCTGTATAAATATCCCCAAAATCGCAATTATTATTGTTATCGGCCAAAGATCCCCCACCGCACTTGGTTTAGTCTAGAGTCACTAAATGAGATACGATCAAAAGTAACGGCAAAACTTTCCTCGATATTGTTGTGGGCGCAGCCGTCTTTATGCTTTCTACAAATCAGACTCAACTGCCGATCGTCATGATTAAAAAGTGCGACTTCCCCCGCATTATTTCCGGTGTTGGAAAGCTCATGTAATATATTGTTTTGCATTGTCGTGAACTTTTTAAACATTTGTGGAGGAAGGAAAACCGTTTCCTGTGATTTCAGTTACAGCTTCAGATAACTAACAACCATGAATTTAAGCAGCAGTATTCGGAAGTGGCATTACTCTGTAGCGTGGCTTATTTAGTGGCTCTAGTTTAGCCCTACTAGAGTATCATTAGGCATGTGTAGGGACGCACAGTAGAACTCGCGCAAAAGCAGCTGTGGTGCACCCGCAACCTCGCGCTTGTTGTTCTAACACGTCTGGCTCGCTTACTGCGGACATCCAGGCATCTGACACTCTGACATCTGGCGCTTTTTCTGTCTTTCACGTGGCGTTCCAAGCGGCACACGACGGAAAATGCCTATCAAGCTATTCTTGAACGCGTGTCGCCATCTGGATTTTATATTAAGAAACCGCAATTTGCCGTAACTGAATGGGAAAAGTTTGAAGTCCTATAACATTTTTAACGTGTAATATATCAATATGGAAGTTCTGGCAAATGTAATATGAAAGGATGCTTTGTAATTTAATGTCTCGTTATTTTGATTAGTTCACGTGATTCAGTTTTTATAGCACCTTAAAATATCATTTCAAACTTTATTTTTTATTTCAAAATATACATTTTCTGATAGTTCGTTGCTTACTTTTCCAATTAATTATATCCAACCGTACGCTCACGTAAAATATCGTGGACAATGGGACGTTATAACTCGAGAAATGATTTTTTCAATATTAAAGACTGTGGTCTATTAAAAGCTAAATAAATAAATAACGACTGAATATAATCGTAATATTCAGACATTAAAGTAATGCTCAAAACCAGCTCTTTAAGATGACATTAGTTTTATAATTGCAAAAATACTCCAAAAGCCGGGAGACGTCATAATTAAAATAAGAACGCCGACTTGACATAACAGAAAAAAACAACTTCATTAGACGTTTCGCCTCCCATGCGGGAGGCATCATCAGTAGTTACACAGCTGTGTAACTACTGATGATGCCTCCCGCATGGGAGGCGAAATGTCTAATGAAGTTGTTTTTTCTGTTATGTCAAGTCGGCGTTCTTATTTTAATTATTAGTTTTATAATTGTAAGGTATTCAGAAAGAAAGTTATAGGCCATCAAAAGAGCACCAAAACGTCATGCACGGTGGGGTTGCACCTTAAGTACCGTAGACCGACCAACGTTGAGACCGGCGATAATTGTGATGATGATAATTCGCAGCTATTTCTTTGTATTGTTTGGTTTGGTTTGGTAGAGCACCGCCAAGCCCCCCACAGTAACAGTCTCTACCGGCCAAAAATAATTGGGGTTGTGTAAATATTTAGAGAGCGTGTAGATGGTGAGCCATTTCAAAGTTGCGAGGAGTCACTCGCCGTAGATGTGCACTTTAGCCAGTGCAGCACAACCGCTAGCCTGGGATCTTTAACGTGCACCAAGCTATAGTGATACACGACCGCACGCCAGTTTGATGCTCATCCAAATCGAAACGGGCAGGGGTAAGGATTGAACCCAGAATCCCTGGGTTCTGCAGCGCGAGCTTTCGCTCGACTTGCTCCGAGCTGTAGAGGTTAACGCGCAAGCTGCACGTCCTCGCGCGCATAGGGCATCATTCGGGGCACCACGCTTTTAATTGACTTAGGCGTGTGGCCTTTCTTAAACCCACATAGCCTAGAGCCACTCTATATGGCAGCGTGGCTCTAACATAGCCTACATCGTACTACAGCGCGTGGTTTCACCTATGATTTTGTTTTGTTTGTGTTTTCGTTTGTGTGAGAACGCGTGCAAATTATCTGCGAGATCGAACCTCATGCTCGCGCCAGCAGATTTGACAGCGTTGTACACTAAGTATGATACAGAGAGAGAAGTTAGAGCCCCACCCCTACCCGTTTCGATCTGGATGAGCATCGTACCGGCGTGCGGTCGTGTATCACTACTGCGTGGTGCACGTTAAAGACCCCAGGCTAGCTAGCGGTTGTACTGCACTGGCTAAATTGCTCATCTACAGCTGGGAGACTCGTCGCCCCTGTGAGGCAGACCAAGTTCTAGGCTGTATAAACATACACACAACCCAATTTTTTTTTGATACAGAGGCTGTTGCGGAAACGAAATCTGCGCCGTGAGTCGCCTTGTCTCTCACAACGCCAGCGAACTTTATCGCCAAAGGCTGCAAATATTAAGTTTACGGGAAAGAGAGCGCCTGGTGTTTTATATTTCGGTCGGAAATGCATGTGTCTCGTGAAGAGATAAACTTGGATAGCTGCTGTGAAGAGAACGAAGTCAGACGCCTCGCCATGAAGCTTGAATGAGCACTGCCGGACGGCTGGACCCGCAGCGTAAATTTGTCATTGGCAAGTCGATTTTGTCGCATTCTGGCGAGTGTTCCATGCTTCGCTAACACTCACTGTTCAACTCTCTTCCAAACTCGAACGCTGAATTCTGAAGGTTTCGGCAGTGTCCGAAACCCGACCGTAGTCGTCCGAAATGTGGCACGTTGCAACTCTCATGGCGGCTATAGCTGCATGTGCGATTGCTGTGCGCGTGCTGATGGCCAGCTTCCACAGTTCTTTTGGAGCGTGCATTCCACATTCCACACCATCAAGATTGAGGATGATCTGTGGCTAGCGGACACCAGTTCGGAGCACGCGGAGCGAAAGCGTGCGCTGCAGAACGCAGGGATCCTGGATTCAATCGCAACCCCTGCCCGTTTCGATATGGGTGAGCATCGTACTGGCGTGCAGTCGTGCACCACTATACTGCGTGGTGCACGTTCAAGACGCCAACCTAGCGGTTATAGCACCGCACTGGCTAAATTGCTCATTTACAGCTGACACACCAGACGCTCACTGAAGCAGACTAACTTCCAGCTGTATAAACATTCACACAACACTTTGCTTTTGCATCAAGATGGCCGGTCTTAGCAGCCTATAAATGTTAGTTCGTTCTGAGCATGCGATCTGAACACCGCCCTCAAATATGGCGTCCAATGAATACCCCCCTTGTATTCCCGACTTTCGGCGATGGGGGTTCCACGATTTGACAGTCGCCGGTGACGGGCGAAGAATTGGTTGGAAACTCCACCTCCGGGCACTCGTTTGTTGCATTTCTCTGGGTTCTACAATCCAACAGACTCCAACAAGGCAGAAGATTAGGAGATGGCTGAAGCAGAGTACGTACTTAGAGTAGTTGATGTGGTGTAAGCTCGAAAGAATGAAGGCAGGGTTCACACACTTGCGACCGCTGACGACTGTGTGCCCTAAACCTTTTAAGAATCTATTACGACGTGATAACACACTGGAGCCACCTATTGGGTAGGCGCAGAATACGTGCCGTTACCTTTTTTTTTTGTTTTCGCCCATAATTTTTTTTTATTTTAAGAAATATTTTTAAGTGTTATAAGCGACCATATCTCATAGAGAGCTAAATCTGATCTGTCATATACTGCACAACCTCCGCTATAGACACTATACACACGCGCCAGATTATAGCCGCCATTGCTGACCGTCTCTTGTCTTGCAGAGATACCGAGCCACTGAAATGGGTGTTGAGCCTTCTCAAAGGCCGATGCTGGGGAGATGGAAACAATAAAATCTAAAATGGCAATAGCCTGGCCGGCTATGGTAATGAAGAGGTGGTCGGAATACGAGGAAATAAAAACTGAAGGTCGGTTAGGGAGGCGCACTTCTGCTGCAAAGCGTCTATAGTGAAATGCAGTTCCAGGGTCGCGTCGTAGATGGCTCCAACGTGCCAGTCTGTGTTTTCTCGTTGTAAGAGATAGCGAGAACTCGTTCCTTGCAAAGGCAAGTGTGTGAACGGGCTTTAACAGATAACACTTCTTTTGTTCGTTTTAATAACTTTTTATTGTCTCTGGGCGCTGTTATCCTTTCCGGTTATGATTGAGGATACCACTTGGAAAGTAGAATCCTCAGAAGGTATCCGAACGGTGGCCTATGTTTTTCTAAGGTTTCTAACTAAGCGAGAAGCGTGGCATTGTGATCTTCTTTTAGTACAGAATCTGAACTTACCATGTCCTGGACCATCCGGACGTTCTTGTCGCCTGCCCGGAGAAGCAGCTGCAAGGGGACGATGGCCGCTCCCGTGGCCCTTGCACTCAGGACGTGGATAGGCAGCTGACCCTTGGGCTGTGGGTGAAATTAATAATAACAATAAAAACAACATCTTTATTTCCAATTTACAATGGTGGAGGCCGAGAAAAAAAGCCGCACGAAACGACTTGACGAGCTCTAATTGAATACACGTTCAATTAGTACTAAGTTTTTTTTTTTTTTTTTAAGTCCACAGACCGATATACATATCTATCTATCTATCTATCTATCTATCAGTTTGGTTCTGGTTTGCTACTCAAAATCAATATAAAACGTGTGCTGATTTGCGTGTTTAATTTTCTAAACACGTTACAAGTGTAGAGCGCACAGGACCAACAATGACCATAACATTGCCTTTGAGCATGGCAAGCTAGAAAACGTATCCAGTGCAAGTAGTTCTATGTATGATACACTTTTTTTCGTAGCCCTCTCCCTATAAGAGTGCGAGTAGTGGTATTTCAGCATGCCTCCATTTTTCAAATTTTGGCCTAATGCATGTTCGTTTTTGTTAGAGTTACTGAAGGCCCTGTTACCAGACCTTCCTGGTTACGTTTGGGTTACTTCTAGAAAAGGTATACTCAGGATATACTATTTTCTCAAAAATAATTTTGTAAAAAAAAAAAGTCTCAACTTTTCATATGTATCTCTATATATGTATAGTACATGTACTCAGGATATACTATTTTCTCAAAAATAATTTTGTAAAAAAAAAAGTCTCAACTTTTTATTTATGCCAGGTCATTTTAAACGCAGCAAGGTCAGAATTAGCTTGCATATAAATAGTTACGTCACGCAAGGAAAGTAGCGTTTACTTTGATGACATATAAGATGATTTTTTAATAGGAAAATAAAAGATATATAGGTGGCATGCACTGGCCGCCACAGTTGAGCATTTAGTACATGGTGAGAACAAGGTTTTTTTCACATCGTCTGTCAGCAATGAGAACTCTGAGGGCTTATAATTCTGATCGCAAAAAAGTCCTGAATGCATGGCTCTCAGCATGCATGCTATGGCGGCCAGTATGGATACCATATTGCTAAATTACCCAAGCACCAACGAGAATGCCCCGAACGCAAGCTTACGCGCCGCGCGAGCTCGCCTTCTCCGTTTAAGATTCCAAGTAAATAAACAAACTAAGACGGGTCGCCAAATGCGCGTGCAAGCTGCCGTTTGTTTCAGGCTGTCGATTTACAAGTTACTATTTTTTTTTATAGGGTGCCTCGATGTCCTTCTGTTTAGGGTGATGCCAGCCTTTTAGTACCCGATGCCGACAGCACGCGCTCACGAGGAAAATACAAAGAAATCGACGAAAACAAAATGTCGCCATAGCACAGCCAGCGCCATGAACGCGTGCTGGGGCACGCTCTTTCACGCGCTTCTGAACAAAAATAAAATAAACGTGTGGGACAAAATGGCGAGATGCCACCACCCTAAGCAAAGCGCACATGAAGGCAGCCTAGAAGTTACTGTTGTAAAGCCTCCTCTATACTGACAAAGCCTGGCAGATCGCCACGAGAAGCGGCCACCGAAAATGTAAAGGTAGAGCGGCAGACAACGGATGACAGGAGAGCCACGTGACTGGTGCCCCGCTGCGGTGAGACGCCGAAACACACTTCTCCCGAGCGATGGAATGTCCGCTCGTGCTCCTCGCTTTCCTCGCGCTACCGATTTTTTTCTCGTCGGGTTTGAAAACTATGTTTCGGCTCCTCGCCGCTGCAAAAGCTGTGCGCTGACGTCCAGGTTTCCCGAGATATGCTCTGTGGTACCGGATCCTCGCGCTCCCAATCTGCGACCGGGCACTCTATGGCTCCGTCGTCGAACTGCCCGGCTTTGCGAGTATAGAGCACGCTATGCTGCTGCAGACGCCAGCACGTGCCGCGCGTGTAACTGCACTCGCAGCATGCTGCTCGGTGGTTGGGTAATCTAGCAGAACAAGGTCTTTTGAACGCGAGACAACAGTAAGTGGCAGCTTATATGAAACATAGGCTTATTATGTGTCACGCTTCTGGCTTCGGGATTTCCTTCTTAGGTCGTCTTAGATGTGTCATATGGCGACTGAAGCATGTAGCATGATGCTCGGGAAGCACCGCGCCGTGCGCCTCCTAACTCACACTTCTCGTATACAGCTTGCATAAGACAGGCTGCTCGCTGCAGACATGGTGGCAGAAGTGTCTACGGAAAACCCTCTATTGCATGTTGGAATCATTTTTGGTTTTATACATATGTATACTTCGAACATGTGTTTTTTTAACGATTAATGTGACGGGATTGTAATGCAATAAAAAAAATGGAAGCCGTTTACAATTCCCTGTAACGCCGGTTAGAGCGCAGCTCTTGAGGAGGAAGATGGAAGTGTACTGAGGGATAGGTGACTCCTTGAGGTCACGTGACCTAAGGGGGCTCGCGTGACGTCAGGGGGGTCACGTGACCTCGGGGGTCGCGTGACTTCAGGGGGGTCACGTGAACTCGGGGGGGTCACGTGAACTCGCTGGTCACGTGTCCCCAAGGGGGTTACGTGACCTCAGGGGGGTCACGTGGCCTCAGCGGGGTCACGTGGCCTCAGTGGGGTCACGTGGCCTGAGGGGGTCACGTGGCCTCAGGGGGTCACGTGATCTGAGGCGGGTCAAGTGACCTGAGGGGGGACGTGACCTGAGGGGGTCACGTGACTTCAGGGGGTCACATGACTTCAGGGGGTCACGTGACCTGGGGGTCATGTTACCTGTGGGGGTCACGTGACCTCAGTGGGGTCACGTGACCTCAGGGGGTTACGTGATCTGAGGCGGGTCAAGTGACCTGAGGGGGGACACGTGACCTGAGGGGGGACACGTGACCTGAGGAGGGACACGTGACCTGAGGGGGGTCACGTGACCTGAGGGGGGTCACGTGACCTGAGGGGGTCACGTGACTTCAGGGGGTCACGTGACCTGAGGGGGAGACGCGACCTGAGGGAGGTCACGTGACCTCAGGGGTCACGTGACCACGCGGTGTCACGTGACCTCGCGGTTACGCCGACGCCGACGGCGACGCCGCTCAAGCCGGAAACGGGCCCCTAAGAGCTGCGCTCTAAAAACATGCCTTAGTGTCTGAAGGTTGTATATCTGTGTGATGTACTAAGAGTGGGACCGCGGCTTCGAGCTGTCAGGGACAATGCGGAGCGCAAGTTCGTCTACCTCTTTTTGCAGGGATTGTGGTGACGTCAGAACGCCGAGCTCCGATTGGATCTGATTAGAGGACAGACCTTAAGGCAGCTGGCTTTGAAATCTACCCACTATCCTTCGATCCGAGCCAATCAGAGCTCGGCGTACTGACGTCCGTCGCCACAAGCCCTGCAAAAAAGAAGCAGACGAACTCTGCATAGTAAATAGCCACGCACGCTATGGCGGAAAGTGGAACTGTGCTTCGTGTGCGGAACGCAGTGGAGGCATCCGACGCTATATGACAAAGCCTTGGAAGCAGTGTTGTACGGAACAACGTTTCAATGAACGACCTTCCTGAAACGCGTTCCTTTTAGGAGGAACGCCGCCCTTCCACCTTGAATCGGTGGAACTGGAACGGAAACGTTTTAGGTGCCCGAGAAAACGGTAGAAAAAACCGCATTGCTTTTTCGTTTTTCTTCTTTTTTTGTTACTTTTTATTTATCTGAAGTTTTACCCAAATTTAATTGACATTTAGGTTTTTTTAATATTATAAATTATTTTAAACTCCGACTCTGAGGAATCGGAACGTATAAACGAGACAGTCGAAATCAAAGGACTGAAACAAATGCATGTGGTCGGGCGACTCGACACGTATAGTCCGATGTGGATATTTTCATTCGCTCGCTTTATTTTATGTAAGCATTACCCAGCGCAAGAATGCATTAAAATTCGCCAAGGTAACGTTAATGTAGCTACACGTTCCAATCTTTAAAAAAATGACGGAAACGCGTTTTGTTTTGTGTGTATTGCCAATTGAATTTGTAACGGCAACTCGTTCCAAGATTGAGCAGGAACGGGCTTCCATTCGTGTTTAGGAGGAACGTGTACACCCCTGCTAGGAAGGCGTGAATCTCAAACGTCAGCTCTATCACTGACGGGTAGTTTGGTTGTCGTGTGGCATCTTTGGGCCAACATCTACAAACGAGTGCCAGAATTAGGCTTCACCGGTGGTTGTTCGGCACTTTGGCAACTATATGGCGAGCCAGAGAAACGCTATAGAAACAGCAAAGAAACGCACTTTGGCAGTAGCTAACGCTTTGTAGTGAAACCGTATTAGGCCCAATTGGGACTGCCAAACTTGAGCCAAGCTGGCCGTTTCTCTGGCGTGCTGCGTGGGCGGTGAACGAGAAAACGGTCAACCAAAGCGTCGAAGGATCCGTTGGACGTTTTATCGTGTGTATGAACCGTCCGTGGGTGCATAGTCCTGGTTCAAGGTACACAGAGTTGCCGTCACCTTGCAAGCAAAATGGCGATTTCGCTGTTGTTGACAGATTGCTTTGCCGCCGTCCACGAGTGGTGCCTAGTTGTACTCGGAGCCGTATATAGAGAGTGTTTTGTCAATGGGAGGCGCGCGCAGAGCCAGAGCGTGCACCAGACGCAGAAAGGGCGGCTTGACACGCTCTCTTGGCCAACCAGAAGCCGAAAAGAATCCCCTCGCGGCGGCAGCGAGAAACTGTTTTGACCGTTTTAATAAGCGCGTAAAAGTTAAATGTAGTAACCCTTCATGGTTCAAAATAGGGTGCACGTGATGTTTCGATCATGATCATACAAAAAGATGTAAGAGACGAATGTTCCACCCTACTCTGTTTTGCTTGGGCAGAGTGTGACGCTCGGACGGCAGGTTCCAGACCCTCCGCGCCTGGCGTACGAATTATGTCTAGTCGCACTCTTCCACCACGATTTTGGATGACCGTGATTGAAACATCTCGTCATTTTCAATCACCGAGAGTTACTTCGACGCACCTATTAAGTTTGTTTCTCACGACCACCGCCAGGGTATTACTTCCGCCTCCTGGTTGGCCACATTCGAATTTGTGAAGACGCCCTAGAACACGCCCAGCCCGCTTTCGGCCAATGGCGCCTCCAGATTTGTCTCCTATACTTCCCAATGAATGGCCAAACTCTCTACATATACGGCTCTGGCTGCACTCACCCCTCCCGTGATGGTGGGGTCGGCTTTCCTGTTGAGCAGTAGCCGGACCATGTCTTCTCGCACGTGCACTGCGGCCAAGTGCAGCGCTGTTTGTCCGTCCTGCGAGAAAGAGGAATATCTTGAGGAAGGCACGAACACGGAAATACACCCGTGGTAACACCGCTAACACATATCACACAAAAAACAGCCTGCAGACTGAGACTTGCTTGTTTTTTACATGACGGCCCTGTCGAATTCGTCGTACAAACACTGCCTGCAAGAATGTATGTACGAAGCCTACATACGTATGAGGCAAACATGTTTTTCGGAACCTGCCAGGTTCCGAAATGCTTCCGCTTTATCTCTGGCTCGCCTCACAGGATCCTTTCCTGGAATTTACTGGTTGGATTTTTATTACTCGAAAGTGCTCGTTCTTTCCCAGGTCAGTTTTATATATACATATAAAACTGACCTGGGAAAGAACGAGCACTTTCGAGTAATAAAAATCCAACCACTAAATATATATATATATATATATATATATATATATATATATATATATATATATATATATATATATATATATATATATTCACAATATTACTACCGCTGCACTTGTCAATCTTCACTCATTCCCATTATATATACGGTGCAGCCTGTCCTTATGGGGAGGAGTGGTTCCCTAGATATCTTGGAAGACGGGCCCTTTAAAGGGGCGATGCACTGATATTTGTATTTTGCGCAAATACCGCTTAGAACGAATCCCTGACGTTAATGATCTGTGAAATACCCGTTCGTTTTCACACCACGCAATCGAAGTCGCAGAAAAAAATAAAGAAAAACGAGCAGAGTTCACCCCCTCAACTCGCAGCCAGAACAAGCGGCTCCGTGATCTGGAGCCGATTATATGCCGCCAATGTTGATTATAGCCATGCGCTGGGGTTGGCAAGGCACAGGACACGCGCTGAGTTCCAGACATTGTTATGGTTCGGCTGTTGTCGTCATTGCAGCAATTGGACACAGGACACTACCCGAATGTTTCGAGCTATCGATTATCACGAGCCCAAATCAAGTGTCCACGCCATGCTCGGGCCCAATCTATGAGCCGCATTCAAATATCGTCACTGGGCGGTACTGCCATCGCCCAGCTACGTCATCAGGTTTTTCGAAGGAGAGATTGAATGAAAACGCTCGGTTTTGTCCTCGAAATTACAGCGCAACAGAGGAGTTTCTTGGCCTGTGGCGTTGCATATGAGTATCCTTGGGTCCCACTAGTGCCAGTAAGCTCGTGTAAAGTGAAAAAACATTCCAATTGAATGTCGTTGCAACGCCGCTTTAAGACATTTGCAAGCTGAGATCAGTCATGGGTAAGTTACTTTTAAAAAAGTAATCCGTTACAGTTACAGTTAGTTTCAGAAAAAAGTAGCGAAGTTACCGTTACAGTTACCGCAACAAAAGAGTAACTCGTTACAGTTACAGTTACTTTTAAAAAGTTACGACGTTACTTTTCAGTTACTTTTCTATAACACAAAAATGTTTTTAGAAAAAACTAGAAAACGCCCCTCACAACGTTTTATTGCATAAAATTAAAAAAAAAAAGGTACGCTTTTTACTTCATATTGTAACTTAGCAGCAGTTGCTTCTCCAAGTTAGTGTTTGAAAGTTTCCACGCCAGAGTAGTGGCGCAAATCAAAATACGAAACATGCGCAGTGCGGAGTAGTGGCGCTAATCAAAATACGAGACATGCGCAGTGCCCTTCACGTGTTTTATTGTTTTACGGTTGATTCACCCGATTAAAAAGCGTTTGCACAGAAAAAAGAAAAAACACAGCGTAGGTAGTGCTTCAAGGCACTAAGATGTAAGTGTTTAGGCACGAAGTACAAGCGCGTGTGTAAAGATAACTAGATATTTTTTCATAAAATCTACACGTGGCACGTGGCTATATTCGGGTCGTGACTCGCGAGAGAGAACGTATTCACAACTTTGTGCAAGGCCAACTTGACACTCGAAATATCGGAATAGACGATTTGCAAAGTGCAAGGAATGGCTTAATTGCACCCTCGTTCAGTGATATATTATTCATAAAACACTGCAAAGTAACGACAAAGGTAACGTCGTTACTTTCATCGTTACCTCAGAAAAAAGTAACAGAACTAGAGTTAGAAGTTACATTTTTAAAAAGTAACTCGTTACAGTTACAAGTTACCAAAAAAGTTACAAAGTTACAATAACGCGTTACTAGTAACGCGTTACTACCCAAGTCTGGCTGAGATGACGTGCCACGTCACTGCCGCATGTCGGAAATAGCGCTGGCCTTAAATCAGCAACGGTTGTCGTCCACCAAGTTAAGCGAATTCGAAACTAAACAGTACACAGAGAGCTGGTCAGAAATTGAGTCCGCCGAAACCAGTGGCCGGGATGGTCTAATCGGTTAAGGTGTCTCCCCGGATAGGCGAAGGTTTGCGGGTTCAATCCCCGCTCCTGGCCCAATTTTTTGCCAGCTCTTTCCCTTTCCGTAACTTTAATGCAATATATTCAATAATCGCCTTCCCCCTCTTCGTTCACAATATTACCACGGCTGCACTTGTCAATCTTCAGACATTCCCATTTTCCCGCACTCATTCCCATCTTCCGTCATAAATATATATATTACATATATATATATATATATATATTGGGAGTGAGGGAAGATCGACAGGTGCAGCCGTAGTAATATTGTAAACGAAGAGGGGTGAGAGCTATTATTAAACTTATTACTTCAAAGTTAGGGGAAGGGAAATAAAAAAACAGCTATCGAAAAATTGGGCCAGGAGTTTTTTACTTCCTTTGAATTAAAAAAAAAAAAAAGATTGGAAGGCAAGGTTTCTACTGTGTATATTTATCTTCTTGGAGTAATTAGACGGTTTTTTATAATCTTCATGCGGTATTATCAACGCAGTATCATCTGCGTATTGAAAAATCTTAGAATTTAGTTTTCGTTTACTTAAATCATTTATATAAATATTAAGCAGAAATGAAGCCAGTGATAATCCCTCTGGTATTCCTTGGTTCATCTCAATTAGATTACTCATTTCATTATTTATCTTTACCGTTTGTGGCCTTTCGGGAAGATAGTTAACAATGTATTTATAAAGTGGTCCTCTAAAACTCTTCGCTTCTATTTATGTTAACAGATTTGAATGTTCAAGTGTATTGAACGCCCTTGATAAATCTAAAATACAAAAATACTAACGAAATCTTGTTATCCTCTAACGTTTTGTTAAAGACATAATTAAAATCTTCGAGCAAAATAGTAGACGTTTTATCTTTTTGAAATCCATATGGTGATTTGCTTATCAAAAAATATTTTTCCCAAAAAGAGTTCATGGTTTTTTTTCCCCATAATGTTTTCCCATAATGTTAGCCATCACCGGCAGAATCGCGATATGTTCATAATTGCTTACATCTTTTTTGGCTTCCACTTTTGAAAACAGGGCGAACTATGGGACCGTTTAAGTGGGATGAAATTTTTCCTGTTTCAAATATGCCGTTTAGGATGAAGCAGAACATAATTCACTTTTTTTAAGTTTACGGTAATGTCTCGGAGTCAGATTTTATCTGTAGCAACCGGTTTTATTACTGACATTAAACCCATTATTTCTTGCAGACCTAACCTTGTCATGATTGTAAGATAAGCTGAGTTTAAATTTTGCACAAAATTTGACAATTGTTTTAAATTTTCGGACGTCATCTTATTTCGAAGTTCTTCAATTACCTTACAAAGTCTATATTAAACGTTTCGCAAAATAAGGCAATATCTGCTGCTTTCCCAAGGTTTTTTTTAATTGTATGATTAATGCCCTTTTTTTCTTACTTCACCTGTTAGCTGATTTACAAAGTCCCAGGTCTGTTTTGAATTTGAAGTGTTATTTATAAATTACTTACCATAGTATGTTCGCTTTGGATCTTCGCATTGAGTTTGTTCCTTAATGAGTGAAATTCTTCTCTACGAAAAATATTGTTAGGATTTTGCTTAGGCCTGGGTCTATAACCTTTCGTTAACGTAGCATAATTCCATACTTTTTTTTTATTAATTCACGAATTTTCAGGTCGCCTTTGCTTTAGTTTTTTTTTTTTTTCACCTTGCAAATGTTCCTAAACGCATCTATTAGACTGTCGTATATTTGTATGTGATCTATAGTCGATGACAGGTCAAGAACGAAGTGGAAGCTCTTCCCACCTCTTTCCACTTTAGTAGAGCGAACGCTGGAGAGGAGGCGACCTCCTCTCGACCGTTTGCTCCGCTGAAGTGGAAACGGGTGGGAGGAGGTTCTTCGTTCTTGAGCTGTCACCGGGTATAGCCTTGATGAAAGAATTCCAGTCATATTGTGGATTTAGTTTATCGACGTTTTTTTTTTTTATTTATTTATTATTTTACGTGCTTTGTTTTGAGTTTGTTCTTCAACTTCCATATTTTCTCCGAAAACTATTAAAGTCGTAAAACAATGATCCGCCAAATTGTCCTAACTACTCTAGCAAACTTGGATAAACCTCCCATCTTAACCAATGTATGGTCAATACAAGATTTGGTTATTTCTTTTTCTAGATATTGTTTCCTACCGACTTCGGCGATTACATTTTTGAGCCCGTAACTAGCTAATAAGTCAAGATACTGACACGATGGCGCCATCTATCCGATGACTCTGGAGCTTCATTTCACTGGAGAGAAGGTTCGGCGGTATTTGCGAGGTGAGGTGCACGTACTGCTTAGAAGAAATGTTCGCTTATAACATTGACATAAGGTTTTCGAGCCAAGAGAGAAAGAATGATGCGCGAAAGAAATAGGAAAAATATACGGGACAGTCAAGTGCTCCACTGCTGCCCTATAGGCGGTGCCAGCGTGTCCTCCCGTCGTAAGAGATTTGAAGAGGTTTCGTGGTTCTCGGTCCTAAGGAGTCGCAAGTGTGTGAACGGGCCTTTATACTTGCGCGAACATGTACATTCGTTCGGCGTATCCTTCGTGCACGAGGGCGAGTTTGAATCAGACGCAAGACGAAGCCACGTGCTCTGGCAGCAGTGCGGCAATGCAGAAACTACGATAGCTTTTATAACGTAGCAAGAAAACGTTGACGCCGGGTAT